GGGAAAGCTTAGGTTGCAGAAACTTTGCCAGCTGTCCGCCCGGCAAGGCGGAAATTTCAATGGCTGGCCACCCCCAGTGCACACCTAAGTCCTAATAAGCCCATGTATTTTACAGCCAGTCCTCCAGGTTTTTCTTTGTAATCAACAGACAATATGCTGTGGTTTTCTCAGATCTCAGCTCTTTGTATAACAACCTCCATTCTGTTATCCCTAGGGCATGACTGTTGTCCTCATGGTCCAGTATAGCTGGTCAAATTCCCACCATCACATCTGTGTTCCAAGCAGCAAGATGGAGGATAAACAAAAAAGAAACAAAGAATGCACATCATCTGACTCTTAAGGTAGGTTCTCAAACGCGGTCATGGGACACATCCACTTACATCCTATTGTCTGGATCTTAGTCACATGTTCACAACTGGATCCAAGAGAAGCTGACAAATGTGTTGTATATTGTGAGCAACCAAATGCTCATCTAAAACTTTGGAAATTGATTACTACAGAAGAAAAAAACCATTTTGGGTTATAGCCAACAGTCTCTGCCAAGATTTACAAATCAACAGCTCTCTAGGCCCCAGCAGGTTTCGGGAATCCAGTGCACTTATGACTTGGTTGGAGAAGATTTTGCCCTCCTTCATCCTAAGGATCTCACCTTGTGCATAGAATTAGCAACTGCTCCTGGTTAGCACTGCTTCCTCTTAGAGAAGGTGGAAAACCCTAACTAGGAAATATGTACCCAAGATTGACTGCCATATCTCTGCTTGTGCCATCTTGTCAGATGCTTTTGGGTACTCACTCTGCCAGGCTATTTTAAGTTTAGTGAAAGAGAACAAGTAAATATTACAACTGAAGTGCCCTGAAATTCTTTGAACAAGAATGAAAAGCCCTATGCATTTCTCTTGTGGTCTCCTTTCTCCAGGCTCTGGGGGAAAAATACTAAAAAGAACAGACAAGATGTAATATTTCTAAAGAGTTGGTCCCATTGGGGACATCATTAGATTAAGACCTTCCCTCTACTCTTGTCAAAGAACTTTTGTTCAGGAAAATACAGCAACAAGCAGAAGAAAGAGTTTTTGGCTTGAAATCTCTACATGAAATGCCCTGGACACAGTACCGGGTGTTGCACAACTCTAGGGGGTGCCATTCACATTGTTTCTATGTGAATGGCAACCCCTTGGACCATAGTATGAAATGGTGTCCCTCAGAGTCGTGTAATGCTGCTATCCTGCCAGGAAATGGTGTAACTTGTCTATTAATCTCAAAATATATATAAGCTGACAAGATAAGCAGACAGCACTGATAGTCCCAAGAATCGTCAAAGACTGTTTTGTTCTTGCAAAAAGCTGCTTTTAAACATAATTCAGAGCACTCGATTTATATTAGGCTACCAAAAGGATTCAAACAATCTAGTGAGCCCACAATATTTCTCTTTTATAGGGGTCTATTTTAAAGACAAATATAAGACCCCAGAAATTCCAGGTTCCTACAGTGCTGTAGAGTATGATTTGCATACACTTTTCTGCAATATCATTAATCAGGGGAGTTGAGGATCCCTCACTTTATCGCTCCCACACACACCTGTTCCTGCTGGAAATGAATAAGTAGGTAGCAACTACAGCTGCACAGAGCCGTTACTGATTTCAGTAACATCGTTAGTCTCATCTTCAAAGCTGGAGTATGATGGCAAAGCTTCAAGTGTGTTTCTAATATATGGTTCTCATCAGAGTCGATTACCATTAGAACACATTTTAAAAATGTCATTCAAAAGCTGTTTTTTAAAGATAGTTTTAAATTATTAACAACCAAATAAGCTCTTTAAGCAAGTGCATTTTCAAGGATGGGACAGCATACCCTGGAAAGGTTTCATCATATTGTTTTATGTAGGACCCAACAAATTAGAATTAGGTTTGGCTCCCTCGATATAAAATAAAAATAAATAACTCATATTTCTTTTTCTTCTCAATTTATTTATATATAAAATGTTGGTCCTTAACTTTTATTGGGTCATAAACACTTATGAGAATATGATATCTCTTCACAGAAATGCATTCAGATACATATACACAAACATGAGCATAAATTTCAGGGATTATTGACTCATAAAACCTATTCATAGACACTCTAGTTTCAAAGCCCTGATCTAGAGGATAGTGTAGGGTAAAACTGAGTTTTAAGAACTCAAAATAAAATCCACTAAAGGTTTATTTATTTATTTGATATTTATATCTACTACCTTATTTCTCTTTATTCTGTAATTTTTTTATTATTGGAAGTATTACAAATGTCCCCCTTTTTCCCCATTGACCCCCATAAGTTTCTTGGTTTATGTCTTCCCACCCCTCCCAACCCCCATCCCTTTGAGTTTGTCTGTTCCCTACTTCCATGATTCTGGATTTTGGTTGACAGCTTATTTTGTTCATTATGTTCCACAAATAAGTGAGATCATTGGTGCTTGTCTTTCTCTGACTGGCTTATTTTGCTTAGCATGATAGTCTCCACGTCCCTCCATGTCATCTGAAAGGGTAAGAGATCTCTCTTTCTTTCCTTTTTTTTTGGTATGTGAGCCAAACCAGCCAGGGCAAGAGATCTCTCTTTCTTACAGCCGCATAGTATTCCATTGTATAAATGTACCACAGCTTTTTTATCCACTCATCTATTAATGGCCACTTGAGCTGTTTCCAGATCTTAGCTATTGTAAATAGCACTGCTATGAACAGAGGGGTACATATATTCTTTCTGATTGATGTTTCAGACTTCTTAGGACATATTCCAAGAAGTAGGATCACTGGGTCAAATGGCAGTTTCATTTTTAATTTTTTGAGGTAACACTATACTGTTTTCCATAGTGGCTGCACCAGTCTGCATTCCCACCAGCAGTGTACTAGAGTCCCCTTTTCTCCACACCCTCGCCAGCACTTGTTTGAGGATTTGTTGATGGCGGCCATTCTGGCAGCTGTGAGGTGATCTCTCATTCCACTAAAAGTTTAAAGGAGAAAAAGTTGATGTGTGTATGTTCACAATAATTTCAAAATAAGTCACTTTGGAGACAAAGTTACTACTTTCAGGAATATTTTCTATTGATGTCTTTAATTTCAAGGACCAATTTATATATACTCCAGCAATATACATCTTAAAAATTATTCTAAATTAAACTGCAATCCAAGGCACACTTTAGGGGTGTTTTGCTTTTTTGTTGTTTTTACAATGAAAAGCATACTATATTCATTCAAGATTTCTCTATCAGAACTTTTTAAAAAAAATTCTCACCCAAGGATACTTTTCCACCGATTTTCAGATAGAGAGGGAGGGAGAGAGGGAGGGAGAGAGGGAGGGAGGAAGAGAGAGAAACATTGATGTGAGAGAGACACATCGATTGGTTGCCTCCCACATGACCCCAACCAGGGCTAGGAATCGAACTGCAACTGAGGTACATTTCTTTGATGGGAATCAGACCTCCCTCCCATTGGTCCATGGGCCAATGCTCCAACTGCTGAGCCATACCAGCCAGGACTTTCAATAGTTTGGTTTGGGTTCACAGGTGAAAATATTGTGAAAACAACATCCCATTGAAGGACAACACTTGAGCCCATTTATTTATTTACTTATTTATTTAAAACTTAGTTCAGATATAATTACATACCATATTATTAACCTACTTAAGGTATACAACTCAATGATTTTTAGTACACAGACTTATGTAATCACCACCACAATACTTTTAGAACATTTTTATTAACTCAAAAAGAAATCCTGTACTTATTTACAGTCACTCCCCATTCCTCACCCCCAATCATTCCAGCCTCAGGCAACCTCTAATCTGCTTTCTGTTTCTATAGATTTGCCTATTCTTAACATTTTATTTAAATGTTCATACAATATGTGGTCTTTTGTGACTGGGTTCTTTCACTTAGCAAAATATTTTCCAGGTCCATCATGTTGCAGCATGTATCAGTACTTCATCTCTTTTAATGGCCAAATATTCTATTGTGTATGGCTATTCCATACTTTGTTTATCCATCCATCCATCCATCAGTGATGGACATTTAGTTTGTTTCTAATTTTAGGCTATTATAAATAATTCTGCTGCAAACATTTATGTACAAGTTTTTGTGTTGACCAACCCTTCAACTGTTAACCACACAAAACATTAAAAGAGAAGTCTTATAATTATAACAGAATTATACACAATTTGTTTTGTAGTAATTTTAGATTTTTCAAGACTCAACTATTTTCACACCCAGCATCACAATGGCTTATCATGACAGGAAAACTGGCATCATTACAGAATCTAAATCTAACACAGAATCAGAGGAGGTTAGATGTTCTCTAAGATCCCTTCTCATACTAAGTTATCAACTTACTACTTACTACCTATTATTCCTCCATGAACAAAAGAGTAAAGAAAGACCAAGACATCCCCTGATCTCAAGGAAATTATCAGCAAACAATACTGAGCCCTTGCAGGCAGTAAGCACAACTGTGCACATGTGTGACTGGGCCTTGGACAGAAGCAATACATTGAGCATGACTTGCCAAGCTACTCGGAGTTCCCCATTCTGGTCTGAAGTACTTGGCCCCTCACCAGATCCCAACTGTGTCTTGCCTACAACTTCAACTCTGTTGTGCCTTTGATACCCTGCTTCTCCTTACGCAGCTTTTCGTGCTCACTCACAGAGACCCTCACCGCTGACTCTACCCTGCCAACTATCTCCACTTCACCTCCGAGACTACTGACTGAACTTCATCACAGGCATCCATACTGGGTTAATGCCTGCCTGGGCTCTAGGTCTGCCAAGTGCTATGCAAGATGCTCAGGGGAGGCACAGTGAATGTTTGTTGAATGAAGGATCCATAGGATTTATTGCCTCTCAGTGCTATGTGTGTGAGGCTGAAGAGGGTCAAAATTAATGTATAACTTAGTTGCTTTTATCAGTTATTCATTGATTACATATTTCTTCAATGATAAAAGCAGTTGGGTTCCTCAACTTATCCCCGAGGCTCTCTTCTTAACTATTAAGATATTAGCATGAGTTTATTCATTAGGATTGAAAAATAGTTTATCTGTTGGGACAGACTCAGAGGCGTAGGAAGCACATTACTAAATATTTGATCCATAAGAATCATCAGACAGAAGACACAAAGAGGAGGTTTAGCTGGTTATTTCTTTAGCTTTGTATTTCAAAGCATTCTTACTTTGGACCTTCTGATTTAATTTCAGTGAAATTCAGTGAGCATTACCTGATGCCAGCATGTGAGGCATAAAAGGCTGAATCATAATCTACTGATGGGGGGTCCTGCCAAGCTCTGCCATTCTTCCAGAGGAGGGTTTCCTTGGGAAGCCAATTTTTTCAGATAGTCACAAGGCTCCAGTTGGGGAATATCAGGATTCTGCCTGTAATATTTCTGTAACTTCTCTAGCACTGTGGGCAACCCAACTGTGGAAGCATAGAACATGGGCCCACCCTTGTGCCTTGGCCATCCATACCCATGTAAATAGATAACATCGATGTGCTTTGGGCTAGCAGCTATCCCATCCCCCAAGATACAGAATGCCTCATTAATGAGTGAATATAAGCAGCGCTCAAGAATCTCATCCTTGCTAATGATACGTGGTTCAATGTGATAGGTTTCCCTATACTGTGACAGAAATTTGGAAACCCAGGGATCAGGTTTGTGAATCCTACCCAATGGCTTGTCATATTGGTACCAACCTTTACCTGTCTTCTGGCCAAATCGTCCTGATTCACAGAGCATATCAGGAATTGGGCAATATCGCCTATTGCCTCGCTTTCGGGCAGGAGTCCCTGGAGGCAATGTAGATCCAGTAAGACCTAGCCACTTTCTAGATTTCCAACCCACATCTAACCCAGCAAGATCAGACACTCTAAAAGGTCCCATTCTGAAACCAAAGTCTTCCAGCACATTATCTATCTCCTCTGGCGTACTGCCATCTTCTAACAAGAAATACGTCTGATTGTAATAAGGATGCAACATTCTATTCCCAACAAATCCAAAACAGTTGCCTACAACTACTCCAATTTTTTTAATCTTTTTTGATAAGTCCATAACAGTGGCAATAGTAGTGGGGGAAGAGTATCGGCTGGGAATAACCTCTAACAACTTCATGATATGAGCTGGTGAGAAGAAATGGGTGCCAATGACCAAGTGAGGACGATCAGTGGATGAAGCAATCTCATCAATGTCCAGGGCTGACGTATTGGTACACAAAAACGCTTCTGGCTTGCACACGGCTGACAGTTCAGCGAAGACCTGCTTCTTCAGATTCATTTCCTCAAATACTGCTTCAATGACTAAATCTACACTACTAAGCTCCTTCATAGATGTGGTTAACTTGGGTTTTGGTCCTGACCAAGTGTGGCCACTCTGCTTCATTTTGGATTCTTCCTTTTCCAACAAGGAGGTTATAATCCTGTTTGCAGTTTCTAGCTGCTTCTTGTCTGGTTCTACGGCAATCACAGGAATCCTGGCCTTTGCAAGAGAAATGACAATGCCTCGACCCATTGTTCCCAAGCCTGTAAGTGAGAGTCAAGAAGGAAAAGTGATTCAATGGTTTTGAGAACTGCAAGGCTACTCAGTGGATGCAAGGATTCTGTGGCAATATGGCATTTAAAGAGATCAATTCAAGGAATATAAATGGATTGAATACTAGTTAAGGCTAGACATTATTTTAAGTGCTTTAGAGTACATAACAATAAGTAGGATTCACACACATTATTAGAATTAATAAACAAGTTCATCAAAGTTGCAGGATACAAGATCGATATATAAAAATCAATTGCATTTCTGCACATTAGCAATGGGCAATCTGAATATGAAATTAAGAAAACAATTCTGTTTACAACAGCATCAAAAAGAACAAATTAATTCAGAATAAATTTAATAAAGAATTGTAAAACCTGTATGCTAAAAGCCAAAATCATTATTGAAAGAAATTAAAGAAGCCCTAAATATATAGGAAAATCTCATGTTCATTATTCAGAAGGCTTAGTATTGTTAAGATGCCAATACTATCCAAATTGATCTGTAGATTCAGTGCAATCCCTAACAAAAATTCAACTGTTTTTTTTTGTTGTTGTTGTTGCAGAAATTAACAAGCTGATCCTAAAATGTATATACAAATATAAAGAATGCAGAACAACCAAAATGATATTGGAAAATAAGACCAAAGTTGGAGCACTCACTCTTCCCAATTTCAAAAATTATGACAAAGCTACAGTATTCAAGACAATGTGGTACTGGCATAAGGACAGACATATAGGTCAACAGAATAGAACTGAGAGTCCTGAAATAAACTCATACACTTACGGCCAATCGATTTTTGACAAGGGTTGCAAGAAAATTCAATGGGGGAAAGAACAGTCTTTTCAATAAATTGTACTGGGAGAACTGGATAGCCACATGCAAAAGAATGAAGTTGAACCCCTACCTCACTATATACAAAAATGAACTCAAAATATATAACAGACCAAAGTAAGAGCTCAAACCATAAAATTTTTATGAGTAAATCTCATGTCCTAAACAATGGGTTCTTAGATATGACATAAAAAGCACAAGCAACAAAAGAAAAAATAGATAAATTGGACATTATCAAAATTTTTAACTTCTGTGCTTCAAAGGATACCGTAAAGAAAGTGAAAAGAGCCACAGAATGGGAAAAAAATTTTGCAAATTACATATCTGATAAGGGATTTATATTAGAACATATAAAGAACTCAAACTCAACAATAAAAAGATATCTCAATTTAAAATTAGGCAAAGGGTCTAATAAAAATTTCTTCAAAGAAGATATACAAATGTCCAATAATCATGTAAAGAGATGCCTAACATCAACAGTCATTAAGAAAATTCAAATCAAGATCACAATGAGCTCCCACTTTATACCCACTATAGTGTTATCTATAATTGAAAAGATAGTAACACGTAGTGGCAAGGATGTGGAGAAATTGTAACCCTGATACATTGCTAGCAGATTGTAAAATGGTACAGCTGCTGTGGAAAAACTGTTCAGAAGTTCCTCAAATGTTAAATATGGAGTTGCCATATGATCCAGCAATTGTTACTCCTAAGGAAGTAGGTATGTGTGTGTGTGTGTCCCTAAGATAATTGAAGACATGTGTCTACATAAAATGTGTACATAGATGTTCAGATCAGCAGCATTCAAAATAGCTAAAAAGTGGAAACAACACAAATGTCCATCAATTAATGAATGGATAAACGTGTGGTATATCCAAACAGTGGAATCTTATTCAGCCACAAAAAAGAACAAAGTATTGATTTATCCTACAATGTGGATGAACTTTAAAAATACTATGCTAAATTAAAGAAGCTGGACACAAAAGGTCACATGTCATATGATTCCATTTATATGAAATATCTAGATTAGGCAAATCCATGGAGACAGAAAGTAGGTTAGTGGTTGCCAGGGCTGAGGGAAGAACAATGGGTAAAGACTGCTGCTGGGTTCAGGGCTTCTTTTCCAGGTGATGAAAATGTAAAATTGAGTGTGGCGATGGTTTTACAACTTTGTGAATATTCATTTTTTGGTGACATTGTTACTATGTATCTTTTTTAATGTTAATTGTGGTAAAATACATGTAAAATTTACATTAGCTTACAGTTTAGTGCATTAAGTACATTCACATTGTTCTGCAACCAACACCACCATCCATTTCCAGAACTCTTTTCATCTTGAAAAACTCAAACTCTGTATCCTTAAAACAATAATTCCCCATTCTCCCTTCCCCCCAGCCACTTGCAACCACCATTCTACACTCCATCTCTATGATTTTGACTACTTTAGGTACCTCATATATAAGTGGAATCACATAGAATTTGTTCTTTTGTGACTAACTTATTTCATTTAGCATAATATTGTCAAGGTTCATCTATTTTATATTATGTGTCAGAATTTCCTACTTTTTAAAAACTGAATAATATCCCATCATATGTATACACAGCATTTTAAAAATCATTCACCCACTAATGAACACTTGGATTGCTTCTACTTTAAGCTATTGTGAATGATGCTGCTGTGAACATGAGTGTCCAAATATCTGTCCAAGTCCTGCTTTCAATTCTTTTGGGTATATGCCCAGAGGTGAAATTGCTGGATCATATAGTAATTCTATTTTTACTTTTTTGAGGAACTGCCATACTGTTTTCTATAGCAGCTGCATCATTTTACATTGAACTGTACTCTTTAAAAGGGTGGATTTTATGGTATATGAGTTATATCTCAATAAAACTGTTAAAAAGATGAAAAGTACCTATCCTCAGGAATCCTGTAATCTAGTAGTGGGAAGAAGAAAAGTTCACAAATATCCATCCTATAAGGTAAAGTAAGTGATGTGAAAAGTTTACATTTCTTTGATGATTCAAAGGAAAGAAATTATATGTGGTTGACTGAATCAAGAAATCTTCAATATAAAGATATTTAAAGAGATATTTGAAGAAAGATCATACTGAAGTAGGTGAAATTGAATAAGCTGAACTATACAGGTTAGGGAAGAAAAAAAGAGCAATATGGGAATGAGCATGAAGAACCACTCAGTTTATTTTTATCCATGTTGTTTTCTGTATATTTAAAACTTTTTTTTTTTTTTTTAATTTTTTTTTTTTATCCTCACCCGAGGACATTTTTCCATTTTTTGTTCAGGTAGAGTGGGAGGGAGAGAGAGGAACAGAGAGAGAGAGAGAGAGACATCGACGTGAAAGGAACACATCGAGTGGTTGCCACCCGCACAACCAACCAGGGCTGGGGACAAACTGCAACCGAGGTACGCGCCCTTAGCGGGAACCGAACCAGGGTCTCTCAGGACCGCAGGCCGACGCTCTAACCGCTGAGCCAAACCGGCCAGGGTTGTATATTTAAAACTTTTTAAAAAATATTTTCAGAACAATGTGGGGTATACTTAAAAAAAACAACAACTTCAAATGTAAATATTCTATGTCAGATAAACCCGAAGTCTTTTTTATCTATTTTTTTTTTTATCCTCACCGAGGACATTTTTCCATTTTTTGTTCAGATAGAGTGAGAGGGAGAGAGAGGAAGAGACAGAGAGAGAGAAACATCGACGTGAAAGGGACACATCGAGTGGCTGCCACCCACACGACCAACCAGAGCTGGGGAAAAACTGCAACTGAGGTACGTGCCCTTAGCGGGAACCATACCCGGGTCTCTCTGGACCGCAGGCCGATGCTCTAACAGCTGAGCTAAACCAGCCAAGGCCCTAAGTCTTTTTAAAAAGGCTTACAAAGGCCCTCGCTGGTGTGGTTCAGTCAGTTGGGTGTCATCCTGTGCACTGAAGGGTTGCCGGTTTGATTACCAGTCAGAACACATGCCCAGGTTTTGGGCTAGATCCCCAGTAAGCGGCGTGCAGGAGGCAGCTGATCAATGTTTCCCTCTCACATCGATGTTTCTCTCTCTCTCCCCCTCTCCCATCCTCTCTCTCTAAAAATCATTTTTAAAAATAAAAAATAAATAAAAAGCTTACAAAGAAGAAATAGGAAAACTCTCAAACAATGGTTAACAAGCAATACTGATAAATATAAGTTTGGCTATTATTTTGCATTAATTATTCTTGGCTTGAAGGAACATAGGGAAGAAGAAACAAGTAAGTATACAACTAGAAACACATATTGGTGTTGCTGAAAGAGTACAAAAAAAGGAACGCCCATATTTCTTTGTCACTCTTTGTATGTATTTCCTTAAAAAATCACAAGTAAACAGAGTCAGTGCTGGAAGGAGCACATGTATTTGTGTTAAAGTCATCCCATTTTACATCTGGCAATTTGTGTTTCTTAATCCCTTCCCCTTTTTCACCCATCCTACTAACAGCCCTCCCATCTGGCAACCATCAAAATGTTCTCTGTATCTATGAGTTTGTTTCTATTTTGTTGGTTCATTTATTTTGTTTTTTAGATTCTACATATAAGTAAATTCATATGATATTTGTCATTCCCTGTCTGACTTATCTCACTTAGCATAACCCTCTAAGTCCATTCATGTTGTAGCAAATGGCAAGACTTCATTCTTTTTTATGACTGAGTAGTATTCCATTGTATATAGTATGTACCACTATGGTAGGTATCAGGCGGATACTAGACCTATCAGGGTTATCACTTCGTAAATTATATAAATATCTAATCACTCTGTTGTACACCTGCAACTAATAAAATATTGTATATCAAATGTATTTGAAAAATTTTAAAAGACATACTAAAACTTGACTGAGATAACAGACTAAGAAGATGTATAGAGTGAACTCTTTCCCTCTAGGTTGGGTTGGGTGCTAAAAGCCAGGTGACAGTTAAGAAAGTTGATGCTTTTAGTAAACTATGAACTTTTTCCTCCAAAAGACTGTACATGAACTGAAACATATTAACAGTTTGATTCCCATTTCACAGGGTTTAAAATCCACAAAAAGCCATTCTTGGGCCAAGACTAAGTGCAAGTGAAGGTTAGGAAGTGGCCCAAAGAAGCCAATCAGAGAGCTAGCTTCTGAGAAAAGAAGACATTTATTTGGGAAAATTCCAGAGGTCAAAAGTAGGGAAGTCCTCCTGTTTCAAGGTTCAAATGGATTTGAGATAGCAGTTTTGAACGAGGAGAAGTGATGGTTCCAGGGACCAGATAGACAGAGACTTCATCCCAAATGCCTAGCTGCAAGAGTGACAGGACACATCTTAAAATGTGGTTCATATAATAATCATTGCTGGGAAATCCAGGAGTGACAGATTCATACAGAGAACAGATTGGGGTGAGTGACGAATGCCCAGAGTCTGGATTCAGAAAGACCTAGCTCCAACTCTGACACCACTTGTGTTTAGCTCCTTGTTGAGAAGGTGTCTCTAGGCCTCACATGTGGAAATAAAGATAGTTCATGGGCTGGGGTGAAAATTACTTTAGCTAACACATGTAATATATTTAGCAAAGAACCTGGCACCTGGTGGCCCCAAACAAATGGTTGCAGCACTTCACCTGTGCAGATATGGAGACTGATATTAACTACCGCATGTTCTTACCGACAACGCCCGCGGAGGAGATGGGCCGTCCCGACGCTGTCTTCCAGGATGCTCCAGACGGCACTGACCACTTATTTACATTCCTCTCAGCCAAGAACGCATATTGCAGGGCTCTCGCCTGCCCTGATTGCCGAAGGTACATAAACAGCTCCCCCTCCTTCTTGATGCCCACCTCATAGGGATACTGTACGGCAGCCTGGACTGCACGGACACAAGTCTCCTGAGAAAGGCACCCGGGGTGCTGCTTCCGCATCCTCAGAATGGCTTCACTGAATATAGAGTCCATGTTGGGCAAGCTCTGAACCGGCCTGTTGTAGAGTCTACGGGGTTCTAGAGACTGATCTGAAAGAAGTAAGAAAATCAGATCTTTGAAAATGTTACTTACACTAAGGGAAAATGAGCAAGTAATAATCAGAATGATGATAATCTGTTCAAATTCAAAGTACAAAATTAAATATTATTCAACACGGCATTTAATGTAACACAAATACCAAAGTCTCTAATATCTTTGCAACTTAGTTCCATTAGAATTTAATGGATCCAAAGCAATTTTAAGTTACCTAATTCAGGCATAAAAGCAGCATTTTCCTATTATTCCAATTTTATAATAGATTAAATATTAATCTGTCAGTCATTTTAAGGAAAATAGCTCTGAGTTAATAATGTTTTAGATTCAAGGTAATTTTAACCTGATTCCTGATAGTAACAAAAACTTAAAAGTACCTAGAAAAGAAGACAGTGTGATATTGGCACAAGGATAGACATACAAACCAATGGAAGAAAGCTAAGAGCTCAGAAATAAATCCTTATAATTGATTTTCAACAAAGGTGCCAAAATAATTCAATGAGAGAAAAAAAAAGAAGAGTTTTTTCAACAAATAGTGCTGGGACAACTGGATATCCAGATGCAAAAAAAATAAATAAGTAAACAAATTCTTATCTAACACTGTATATAAAAATTAACTAAAAATGGATCATAAATCTAAAGTGAAGAGCTAAAGCTATAAAATTTTCTAGAAAAAAGTAACAGGGAAAACTTTGTGACATTGGGTTAGGCAAAGTATTTTTAGCATAATCCATGAAAGAAAAATCAATCAATTAATTAGGCTTTATTAAAATTAAAATTTTCTAAACTTCAAAGAACACCAATAAGAAAATGAAATGATAATCCATAAACTAGGAGAAAATATATGTAAGGTAGACAGAATGATGCCCCCCCCAAACCCCCTCCACCAAATGTCCACTTCCTGATCCCCAGAACCTATGAATTTTTTACCTTACATGGCAAAGGGACTCTACAGGTGTGATTAAGGTTAAAGACCTTGAGATGTGGAGATTATCCTGTATTATCCAGGTTGGCCCAATCTAATTATGAGTCCTTAAACGGGGAGAACCTTTCCTGACTGTAGTGAGGAAGAGATTTAATGAGAAAGGGTCAGAAAGATGCAACATAAAAAAGACTCAACCTATTGATGATGATGTGGCTTTGAAGATGAAGGAAGGGGGCCAATAACCAAGAAACACTGTGGCCTCTAGAAGCCACAAACAGCCCTCAGTTTACGACCAGCAAGAACACGGGGACCGCCTTGACCGGTTTGGCTCAGCGGTTAGATCATCAGCCTGCGGTCCAGAGAGACCCGGGTTTGGTTCCCGCTAAGGGCACGTACCTCGGTTGCAGTCTGTCCCCAGCCCTGGTTGGGTCGTGTGGGTGGCAACCACTCGATGTGTCCCTTTCACGTCGATGTTTCTCTCTCTCTCTCTCTCCTTCCCACTCTATCTGAACAAAAAATGGAAAAATGTCCTCTGGTATGGATAAAAAAAAAGAACACAGACACCTTTATCCTACAACGAAAGGTACTGAATTCCGTCAACAACAGATTCTTCCCTATAACCTCCAGAAAGGAGTGAGGCTGCTGACACCTGAGTTTTAGTCTAGTAAGACCCCTAGCAAATTTTTGACCTATAGATCAATATAAAAATAAACATGTTGTTTAAACTAAGTTGTGGTCATTTATTAGCAAAGCAATAAAAAACTGATACAATTTGAAAATTAAATATTTAATGAGGATCTGTATCCGCAATGCATAAAAGACTCTGATGACTCAATAGTAAAAGGGCAAACAACCCAATTTTTTAAAGGAGCAAAACTTGAGTGGCCATTTCACCAAAGAGGATATACAAATGGCTAATAAGCATGTGAAAAGATGTTTAACACCATTAGTCATTAAGGAAATGCAACTTCAAAACACAATGAATATGTAGGCAGTTTCTAAACAACCTCATTTCCGAGACTGAAGTACAAAAATCTCACCCTCTCTTGCTCTGTCACTCTGTCTGACGGAAGCCAGCTGCCATGTGAGAGTTGCCCTTTGATGAAGCTCATGTGGCAAAGAGCTGAAGGAGGCTTTCAGCCTACAGCCAAGAGGAACTGAGACTCTCAGTTTAATGAACCATAAGGAACTGAATCCTGTTAATACCCACAGGAGATTAGAAGCAGATCCTCTTTCCCAGCCTAGCCTTGAGATGAATACAGCCCCCCGAAACACCTTGAATGTAACGTATGTGAAATCCTAAACCAGAGGACTTAGTTAACCATGCCCAGATTCCTGACTCACAGAAACTATATGATTTTAATAAATGTTTGATCTTAAGAAAATAAATTTTGGAGTAATTTGTTATGCAGCTGTATATAACTAATACAGACCCACTAAAATGACTATAATAAAAAAGACATCAGTATCAAATGTTGGTGTTGATGTGGAGTAACTGGAACCCTGACATATTGCTTGTGAGAATGTAAAACAGTACATCCACTTTAGAAATCAGTTTGACAGTTTCTTAAAAAGATAATATAAACTTATTGTTCAACCCAGCCATTTCACTCCTAGGAACCCACCCAAGAGAAATAAAAACATATGTCTCTATAAAACGTATATAAATATTCATCGCAGCATTATTCATAAGAACTCAAAACTGGAAACAATCCAAATGTCCATCAACTAATGAATGGATAAAGAAAATGTGGTATAGCCATACAATGGAACACTACTCAGCAATAAAAGGAACAAACTACTGATACATGCTACAGATGAACCTTAAAAAGTAACTGAAAGAAGCCAGATGCAAAAGACTGCATATTGTATGATGCCATTTATAGTATATGTCCAAAAAGACACATGTATAGAGATGGAAAGATCTGTGGTTGCCTAGGGCTAGGGGCTAGCTGTAAACAGTTATAGGGGCACTTTTGGGGCAGTAAACTAGTCCTAAGATTGATTTATGGAGATGGTTACATAACTCTATAAGATAAATTATGCCTCATTAAAGTTGTTAAAAAATCTCTAGTAAAGAATTTATCAAGATAGGTACAAGACCCTTAAGAAGATAATATAACGTTTTATTGAAGAACATAAAATAAGATCTTAATAAACAGATGGAGCCCACGTTCCTGGATATAAATCTTTAATAGCAAAAAAATATAAATATTTATATATGTGTACATTATTTATAGATTTCTAATTAGTACCCTTATTGTTCTTTTTTTGTTTGTTTGTTCAGATAGAGTAGGAGGGAGAGAGAGAAAAAAAACCATCGAGGTGAAAGGGACACATTGAGCGGCCGCCACCTGCACAACCCAACCAGGGCTAGGGACAAACTGCAACCGAGGTATGCACCCCCAGCGGGAACTGAACCCAGGTCCCTCGGGACCGCAGGCCAATGCTCTAACCGCTGAGCCAAACCGGCCAGGGCTCTTTTTTTTAAAAAAATAACTCAATAGAATGATTGTACAGTTGCATAGAAGAATAAATATATAACAAATTACATTATCAAAACTGTTTTCTAAAACGTGATACCATCTCTTCAAGAATAAACCATTACATAAAAAATGTACGTCTTGGTTAGGCAGAAAGCCTACCAACCTTATAAAGCAGTTTCACTGTAAAAAGACATATGAACCCAGCTGGTGTGGCTCAGTGGATTGAGCGTCATCCCATGGACTGAGAAGTCCCAGTTCAATTTCTGGTCAGGGCACATGCCCGGGTTGCAGGTTTGATCCCCAGTAGGGGCATGCAGGAGGCAGAGATTGATGTTTCTCTCTTACATTGATGTTTCTATCTCTTTCTCCCTTCCTCTCTCTCTAAAAAAAAAAAAAAAAATCAATTAAAAATATTTAAAAAATGAAACAAAAAGACATATGAATGTGTTATTTATTATGTGTCCAGTGGAGAGTGAGTGAGGTTAGGATGTAGGATGAGTGAAGCACTATATAATTTCAGAATCCTTTTAACCTAGGAGGGGAGAATATTTTAACACTTGATTACTACGTAGAATTGAAAAGAATGGATTTTTAAATTGATGCTTTACCATATGATGTTAAGAATAGGATTCAGGAAAGACAGTAGTTAGCAGCATATAGTCCCTGTTTGCACTGCTATTGTAGGAATAACATGAACTCTATTCAACAGGCTACCAATTACTTGCTCATTTATCCATGAGTGAGCCCAATCCTCAGTCTATGGAACGGAAGCTCAGCAGAGAAGAATAGAAACCTTTCCAGGGCCTGATTTAATTCCTGGTGGCCCAAAAGGAAGACAAGAGTGGACAGTAGGGAGAGGACAAGTATGTGGAGGACCAAGTAGACGAGGGCTGAGGGCTGAGCTGTCAATGTTGTGGCACAAAGGGGGCAGGTGCAGTCGATGCCCCAGTACAGGAATAGATTGGGATATCTAATAGCGGATCTCTGTCCTTGTTTCCACCGTGACGGGCTGATTCTCAACACCACAGCACACATCAGAGCTACGTGAGGGGTTTTTAAAAGTTCAGATACCCAGGCCCCACCTTGTTAAATGTCTTTAAGGGTGGGGCCTGGGCATGAGGATTTAAAAAAAAATTTAACCGTTGATTTTGACGTGTAACTTCTAGGAGGTCCAAGGGCAGAGCATTATGTCAGCCACAATATCAAGGACAGTTACAGCTCCTGGCAAGTTTAGTCTGGGCCAGAGATTAAAAAGGAAAGAGAAGAGAAAGAAAAAAAAAAGTCAAGAATAAAAAATTTTTTAAAAGTCTACTTAATGGTGTGCAGTAAATATTGCCGATCCCATAACCCCATTATCCTGGGCATACTCAGAACCTCTCTGTCTGCACATGGGCATTCTGGGAGCTACCACAGTACTTGTCCAGACCAGTCGAGAGCCAATCCAAGTGCATCGACTGGAGAGTTGGGATCAGGGTACCATCAAAGATCATTTTTCCCTGTACAGTTTCTTATCCCTTTCTTGCTATAACTGTAACAGAAGGATGTTATTATCTTACAACTGCAGTTTATTACTGCAAAATATATT